CACCATGCTTGGTTTCAGGGCCAGAACAGCATGTGGGGCCTCATGCTTGCCAGGCAAGTACTTAGACTGCTGAGCTATCTCCCCAGCCTTGTATTCTACAATTTTAATGTCTTCTCTCTTTAGAAGTTACTGATCTCTTGAATTAGTGTTCATAATACCTAGGTATGTTTTTTTTATTTTTTGTATTTAGGACAGGATGTACAGAGTTCTCAGGGTCTCACTACTAGCTCGGACTCATAGTGATTCTCCTGTTTACAGCCTCCCTAGAGCTGGGATTACAGGTGCACCACCACGTCCAGTCTCAATTGCCATCTCAGTGAGCTCTGGGGGCAAGGCTGGCATGGATTGAAACCCCAGTCCCTGTGCCTGCTTGCAGGCTCTTTAATCAGGTGAACTATTTGGCCAGCCCCCTTAGTTTACTTTTATGTACATATTTTATTTGGTGAATATTGACCAATTTATGTATCAATTCTCCTGTTGATATGCAAATTGTTTTCAATGATAAATAAAGCTGCCACGAACATTCTTTTACATGTGATTATAGTTTTCAATTTCAGAACAAATTCTCAGTTACTTATAACTGAGAATAGCGCTTTGTACTATTCTTTGTTCCATTTTGCTTCTATTTTCCTGTTACTTTACTATCAAATTTAACAGAATTATTAAAAGTTCCTCAATGGAGGATTTTTTTTTTTTTGGTGGAACCGGGGATTGAACTCAGGTCCTTGCGCTTGCCAGGGAAGCACTTATTCCACTGAGCCATCTCCCCGGCCCTGAGGATATTGTTAATTGGCCAAATAAGGCTTGCAATAAAATCTTTTCTCAGTCCCATGATGCATACCTCAGGTTCTCGTTGAGATTTTGATTAAGAACTCTTTCACCTTGGAACCAGAAGAAAAGTCTTTAAAATATAACTACAGCCACAAAGCAACCCAATTAATCATATGAAATTCCCAAGAAGCTCTCTTCAGAATCCAGTGCAACCTGATGATTTTATGGTAAGCTTCACCATCAGAACTGCAGGTAACCACGTTTGTAGTGAAGACTTGCAATCAAAAATCAGTTTTTGGGGGCTAGTGAGATGGCTCAGTGGTCTAAAGCACCTACTTAGAACAAGCTTAGCAAAGCACAGGGACCATGGTTCAATCCCCCAGCACCACATGCCAGCCAGCCCCGCCCCCTGGTGGGCTGAGCTGGCCACACACACATGCACACACACACACACACGCACACACAAATAAATAAAAATTTTTTTAAAAAATCAGTTTTTGGGCTGCAGTCTAACCAGGGGAATGCTCATCTGCTGTATTCATTCCCATGGAGTTTGAAGGCTCTGGTTCTCTCCACAGCAGTTCATGTTGTAGGCACTTTACATTTCTTTCTGTGGTTTGAGAGCCTTCCAGGTTTCAGTGATTCATCCTCCCTTCCATCTGCCCTAGAGACAACAGCTTCTGGGCAAGTGATGATGGAAGGAAAGTCAGACACTGGATCTGCAAATTTATAGTCATTGTCAAATTAGTGGTAATGCCTCCAGTATTGGCCTGTAACCCAAAGGATGACTGCTAGGGTGCCCCCTTGTGTGCCCTTCTGGCATTCTCTTCCAATGAGTTTTTCTTTCCTCTGGTTTAAATAGTTTATTTATTTTTTCCATACTCATTAGAGAAAAATGTTTCAGATGCAGAACACTGAGAAGAAAAAACATTGCTGCACGTGGTCATGTACTCTTATAATCCCAGAATTTGGGAGGCTGAGGTGGGAGGATCACTGCACATTTGAGGCCGGTCTGGGCTACATTCTGAGTTGAAAGCGAATAACACTGCAAGACCCTGTCTCAAAAAGCCAATTAATTTATTAATAGAATTAATTAAAGCTTTTTACTTGAGTTGGATGTATTAATATTTTGGCATATTTGCTTCTATTTTTATACATTTTTTATCATCTTTGAGATTATATTCCATATACCACTTATGGTTTTCTTATTTTTCTAACATCATCCAGCTATTCAACATATTTTTTCTAAGATGTAAAGCTCTTGTTTAATATTATTCCTTGTTTTTTGATATTGTTAGGATCTCTATATAAATATTTTTGCTGAGTCAAAGTCTATGCATTTTGATATATTGCCAAGATAGTCTCGAGACACTGCGCCATTTGCTGCTCCTTACAGTTTTTGATTCTCCTTTCCCCACATACTTAGCTTTTTCTGCTTCATTTATCATAATTTTTGACTCTGTTTTTATTGTAGTCTAGCAATCTGTTCCTTTTTTAGCTAAATTAGTGATCTTGAAGATCAGTACGTTCCAACCTCCAACTTGTTTAAAAATTTTTTGAAATAGGACCTGGGTAGCTCAGGCTAGCCTCAAATTTATGGTAATCCTCCTGCCTCTGCCTCCGGAGTACTGGCATTATAGATGTACACCAACACAGCCAGCTTGTCTAAAATTCAACTCCTCTTGACTTTCTAGAATTTCTTTCTTGAGATAATAGTCTACTAGACTATGAGCTAACAGACCATTTTTATCTTAAGTAGGCAGGGCAGTGGGAGCTTCTTTTTGAGGTTAAAAAACAAAACCATTATAACCCTAAGGGGATCTGGAGAGGGCTTTCAAAGTGTTGGGAAGAAAGCCTGGAATTAAGGTTTTTAAATTTGTAATGCTCTCAGTCACTTCTCATGAATCTCCATAGAAACTGAAAGTCACACGTGGCTCAATTGTTTCAAGGTCCTGAGTAGTTTGTCCCTCCCCTCCCCCTCTCCATGGCTTCATGCATAACGAAGCAGCTTTGGAGTGAAAGAGGTCAAGATCTTTTTTTTTTTCTATACTGAGTATTGGACCCAGAGCTTCATATTGAGTTACAACAACAACCCATTTTCATTTTTATTTATTTTTAGGTACTCTGGATTGAACTCAGGATCATGAGTTTACCAGGCAGGTGCTTAAGCTGCTGAGCTACCTGCCCTGCCCCATTATTTTTCACTGTGAGACAATGTCTTGCTAAGTTGTCTAGGCTGGGCTAGATCTCAGGATGCTCTTGCCTTAGCCTCCCAGACCGCTTGAATCATGAGCATGCGCCACTAGGCCCAGCTTCTCTAGGTTCCTAGTGAGCATTGCCTCACTGAAAATTCTATCTAGATCTCCCATCTTTTGTGGGTTTAGCAATCACATCTCAGCATCACTGAGGGCAAAACAGCAAGTATCTGATGATTCTTTGGAAAAGACTCACACTTTAGTTTTCAAAAATTATGTCTTCCCCTCACACCCAAGTGACTTCCTGGTACGAGTTATAGTCCACTGAAAGGAAACTCTATAGGAAATTTGCTTGAATGGAAATAACCAATCATAGTGATAATTTAAAACTGTACCAATACCCCTGAAGTGGATGGAAAGTTACACTAGCCTTATTTTAAAGGTTTACAAATGATTCTAAATGAAAACATCAATAATTACAAGCAACAAGAATTTGGACTTTAACACAGGCAACTAGTTAAAATTGAATATGAAAGGGGTCAGAACAGAGCAGAAAGGGAAAGCCCTTAAGGTTATTGTTGAGATGTAACATTTTAGGCTTTCATTAGTACTGGCATTTTATGACTTATTTGGTGTGTGACATTGTTTTATCAAACAACTGAAGCTCCAGAGAGGCTGTAGCACTTTTGCTTCAGTGACTTAGCATGCAAAATGAAGGAAAGAGCAGAACTAATACATAAATAACAGCAAAGAGAACAGTCCCTGAGCTCTGTAGACACCTTTCCTAATCCTCCTCTGGGCTTTGCTGATGCCTTGCCCCTAGAAATGCAAGAAATGAGTAGAGACTTCATTTTAAAGAGCTCAGTAGCAGAAAAATTAGAAGTCTGGCAACTCATCTAAGAATGTCTTGATCAGGGTTAGCAATCCCTTTTATTCTAAATATCATCCCATTTGCTCTAGTTAGCCCCTATAGAGACACTGGCAGGTCTTAGACAAAATAAAAATAATAGCAAATGCTGCAATATAGTCACCACCATCAAGTTCTGTGTTAACTGGTTTACATTTATGTACACGTTAACTATTCACAACAACCCCAAAGAAAGGCATTATGTGCAGGGACGGAGAAAAGAAAAAAAAAGTTAGAGAAGAAAGGGGCAAGAAAAATTCAATGTACTGTAATCTACCAATTATTTATTAAGTGTTCTGTGTCAAAGAACATAGTAATGAACAAAATAGTGGAAAAAGAGGGGGACAGGTTAAAAAAAAGGAGAGGAAGAAGAGGAGAGAGGGTACACAGGTATAAAAAGAGAGAGAGGGGAGAAGAAGAGAGGAAATGAAAGGAGAAATAATGAAGACAAGAGAAAAGTAAGCCATGCACATGGTGGCGATCATAAGAGGAGAAAGTACACCAGAACCTCTGGGGTTGGCCACATTGCCTGGGTGGAGGCAGAGGCCACTTTCTTTTGGCCTCTTATCATACCCATTATTACCAACAGGTTTGTGTAGCTTCCATATAATCCTTGCAACAAGCTTGCCCTGATGCTGGCCTGATTCAAGATAACACAGGTATGCTACAGAATAGTGTCACTGGGGCCTTTCTCCAAGTCAAACTGCCTATTGTGGCATGTGAGCTTTTACCACTTGCTCAGATAAACTGTCTCCTAGAATTTCTTCTTCTAGGGCTTCACTGACACAATTGTACACTCAAGCAATATTTGACCTGAGGGTCTGCTTTTACCTTAGTGCCACTTACAATATTTCTTTTCCACCAAGTTTTACAGAGTTGTTGCTTTCCAACAGTTGATACCTGCTCATTTGCTGCAGGTCTCTTTTCATCTTCCTATTTCCCCCATTTCTCCCTCCGAAAGGATCTTTATAGACCTCCTGATCACTGCAGGGTCTGCCCAAGCCTTGTACCGATGACACTCCCACCCTCATCAACCTATGACATTAGCCATGCTTTCTCTCTGGCTTTTACGGATTCCAAGAAAGATAAATGTTGTTGCCTCCCATTCCGTCTTGCCCCAAACTCACCCCAGTCCTAATTTACTTCAGGTAGCTCCTCAGATGCATTGAGATACCAGGACTTGAAAGGTGGGACTCGTTTTCTGAAGACACTGGCCCTGGACACATATTCTTACAGTCCGGAGAGGAAGGACAGTCTGAACAAACCCCACCCTTTCACAGCCACTTAGTTCCCTTTTTTTGTTTCCTGGCTTAAAACCAATGTCTTTTTTTTTCTTCTTCTCAGCAGCATGGTATCTGGTTCCCTCCTGCTGTCCTTATTCCACCCCCCAACTGTCCCCGCCCCTCATTTGCTTGGGACCTTTGACATTACTATCTTGAGACCAGCTCTGAAAGTTTTCTTAACATTATTGGGGTCACTGAGACTCTAAATGGAACTGGGCTGAACAGACAGGTTGTCAGCCTGCCTGCCCCAAAGTAAAGGGACTATATACTTAAAAGGGCTATAGGAATTGTCAATACAGTGAGAAGAGACAGGGTGTTTCTGGAACAGAGAGACTGCCAAAGAGGAATGTCTTTAGAGCTTTCTGTTTTTTGAGGAGGGGGAGCCTCAGGGTCACACAATTAAATTTACGAATGAAGGACAGAGTGTATTCACAAAGGGACCCCCAAGCACAAAGCCCAACAGATGTAGAGACAAGACTTCCCCTGCTGAGTCATTTTCTAAGAAAGCATTCTTTCTACAGATAAAAATGCCAGAATGTAAGCCCACACAAACACTTATGCCTTCCTTATTTTCTGTGAGTGTCCATTTTCTCCACTTAAGGCTCAAAAATAGTCAATTTATAGTTTTCTTTTTAATTCTGTAAAGCAGTAAACTGTAATAAGTGTCTCACTGTGGATGAGCCCTCAACAGCCTCCTAGTGTAAGTTCTTGTTGCAATCTTCTCCCTGAGGATTGTCTGAGGAAATACAGGTGAATGCTGAGCCCATGATGGTGGCCGAGCTACTGGTGACTGATCTTCTTGCCCATCCTACTCATGCACACACCCATATTTTCTTGCCCTGAGGCTCTGTACCTTAATACAGACATGTTTCAGGTTCCAGAAATCCGTCGGATTTTTTAAGGCAACAGAATTTTGAAAAAATGCATTTATAGGATGGTAGAGCAATTAATACATCTACATAAGATAGATGAAAGCAAGGGTCATATAGATCTCCCTACATTACTGACAAGTTATATTCTTTCACTAGCCAGTCACTGTGCCAAAGTTGGCCACAAGCATTCCTTTCCCTTGTTTTTTTCAGTGAAGTGCTGCTTGTAGTCATATGCCCATCTCATCTCAAGGTCCATCTTGGGGTGGAGATTGGGAGTTGATAGGCACACAGTGGGAGATCTAGAAAGAGAGGACAAGGGAAAGGGCAAAGTGTAATCTCTTCTTCACTCTCTGTTCACGACTGCTCCCTAACAATACTCATCCATAATAGTGCATGAACCAAAATAGTGTAAATGAAATCACCTAATGTAACCCTCAGGAGATCCCCAATGTTCTATACGGTTCAGTTCTTGGTGCCATCCTATTCAACATTTCTATTAATGACCTTTGAGGAAAATCAGGAAAGTAGCCTAGCTAAGCTGTGAGCAGTGCAAGGTTGTATGAGGTACTCTCTATGACTGAAACAAGGAAATTAATGCCCCAAAAGACCCTGATTACCTGGTGTGACTCCAGATGAAAGTGGGGAGGCAGTAACATTTGTAAAAATTGTTCAGTGATTTCAAAGCTGACAGTAACCGAGAAAAATGCCATGCCAATAATATGGCCGCCAGAAAAGCCAAGGTGATATTAGGACTTCTTTTAGAAGAAAAAATATGTAATATAGAACTAGCCTAAATTTCCATCAACAGATGAATAAAGAAAATGTGGTATGAACAAACAGTGAAGTATTATTTAGCAATTAAGAAGAAAGAAATTGTATCATGTGCACAAAAGTATATGGAATAGGAAATCATCACGTGAAGCAAAATAAACCAGGCTCAGGAAGACAAGAGTCACCTGATCTATGGAATCTGTAAAAAGTGACATGAAAGTAGTGGAAGACTACTATTAGCAGGAGAAAAGTAATAAGGAGAGGGCAAGGGAGGGTTAAAGGAAGGGTAATAAGATGTATGTATTAAAATATATGCATATATGAAAATACTTTGAAATAAAATATTTTGTAAAATTCAAGCAGTAATAAAATGTATTACAAAAAGAAAAAAAAAGAAGTACAATATCTAAAAGTGGACCTGCTACCTACTTTGCAAGATCAGGTCACACCTAGTTTTCTGGTCTGAGTGACTTGAATTCTGAGTGCCTCATTTTAGGGGAAATGAATAAGCAGAAACAGTCCCCAAACAGACCAGGACTGGTATATAAATTTTCATGTATAAGATGTGCAAGTTCTAGGGGTTTCATGCACAGCATGGTGACTGCAGTTAATAATACCATATTGTTTACTTGAAATTTGGTAAGAGAGATTCATGTGCTCACCCCCCCAATGATAACTATGGGCATATGTGACAGACATATTACTTTTGACATATATAATTATATACATATATATATCAAGTGTTCATATTATATACATTGAATATATGTAATTTTTCAATTAAATTTTAAACCAAGCTGGCTGTGGTGGTGCACACCTATAATTCTAGCATTCTGGGAGGCTGACAGACACAGGAGGATCACAAGTCCAAACCCAGCCTGGAGAACTTTGCTACTTAGTGACACTATCTCAAAATTAAAAAAAAAAAAAGAGCTGGGGCTATAACTCAGTGTTAAGGTCCTGGGTTTAATCTCCAATATTGAAAAAAAAAAGGAAAGAAAGAAAAAACACACCTAACAATAACAAAACCCAAGCAATGTCACATGGGGGATGACAGAAGAAAGTTTGATGGGCGAAGAAGAGCCATATTGGCTATCTTCATATTTTAGGTTAGTAACATAAAAAGCCTTTAACTCTCTAAATCAGTGAGCCTGCTTAAGAGAGTTTGGACAGAGAAAAATGCTGAGACTTCAGGCTGGCAGTCTGGCAAAGAAACTTTTAGAAAATGTATCACATAGTGGTAGATTTTTTATTGTCTTAATATCACAGACCATACAACAACAACAAAGGGCATGATCAGAGAGCCAGCTCAGGACCCATGGGTATCCTTAGAGCATTATAAAAGCAGGGTACTCCAGGCTGTCATAGTTCCTTAGGTCTAATTTCTTAGGCTCCAAATACTGCACCTCCTTTTTGGTTCCCAGCTCAGTTATTTCCTCACTCTTCTCTAGCCTGTAGATTCTGTTTCCCCTGTGTGATGTAGTGGTTAAGTTCAAGCCACATTCCAGGCAAAAAACAACCACCTGTGTGATTTCACATAAGTGAATTTAACATCTTTCATGTTTAATTCCTTCACCTGTTGGCTAATAATGGTACGTGGGTCCTGGAGGCGTTAAGTTTAAAAGAAGTTGTATGTTGGTGGGTTAGAACCATATGTCATTATTGTTAGCCATTACAATTAGCAGGCCACAGCAGCAGTGTTTTATAACGGAAAGGAACCCAGGGCTGATTTGGTGGTGTGAGCCTATAATCCCAGTTACGCAGGAGGCTGTGGTGAGGGAAAATCGTGAACAGGAGGTCACCTTGAGAAATATACTGTCTGAAATATATTTGTCTGAAGACAAAAAACCTTCTGAAATCAGACTACTTGGGCTTGTATCTTGGATCTACTAAATACTTTCGACATTGGGCATATAATTAACATCTCACACCCTCAATTACCTCATCTATTAAATGAGAGTAATAATGCTACCTATATCCTAGATTGCTGGTAGAGCACATTTAAAGCTCAGCATTCCTCAGCCTCTGTCTACAGGTTTGTCTCCCACTACCCCAGCAGTACTAGGGTAGTCAACCAAGGACCCTCACACTGAGCTACATCCGAAATTAGACAAGGTCTCACTAAGTTGTAAGTTACCCAGGCTAGGTTTGAACTCGGGATCACACTGCCTCATGGTTCCCAGAGTACTGAAATTACAAGTGTGTGCTACCATGCCCAGCTTGCTGGGCTGCCATGAAACCTAGTACATGCCTGTTGCCAAGTAGGGAAGGGAGGGGAGGAGCTGCTGGCCATGTTCTCTGTTGGCTGGATAAGTATTGTTGCAAGCTGAACAACTGCACTGCGACTTTTCAGAACCTTACACATCCAACTTGCCCAGCATAACAAGTGCTGCTTTAGTGCAGAATATTGATCCTTTTCTTCAAAATACTCAGTTCATTATTGTACATTAATGAGCATATTATTGTGTCCCTTCACTAGAACAGTGCCTGACACAGAACAGACACTCGATAAACATTTGCTGAATGGACCATCTGATCTCGTGATAAATGAACTGGAACAGTTGCCTCCCTCAAAGCGTTCACTGAACCAGCAGTTTACTGCGGAGGTTCCCAGTGTCCTTGCGGTGGGCCAGGACCGAGGGTCCGTCTACTCCATACTACTTCCGGTTTTTCTCCGAGACAGCAGAGCCCAGAATCTGGTAAGAGCGCCGCTCCTTTTACGTAACGCCACTACGCTACTACGTAGGAGGGTCGGCCAATAGTTCTGAGCTATCCTAACAAAAACTTGCGAAGCTGAAGGTCCTCTCAGCCACTGGAGGGCGCGAGGCGCCGAACAGGACGGCTTCGGGCGGCGCCCGCTGCGTCCCGGAAGTGCGAACCAGCGTCGCCTGTACACTTCCGCTTCCGGCGCGGCTTCTTTCTTTCCTCGCTGTTCGCGCGTCTGCAAACATGGTAGGTCCTTAGTAATATCCAGTTCAATCCTTAGCCCACCCTCATGACCCGTGAGCTCAGGCCCCAGCGTGCCTGACCACAGCAAAAAACTCTAATATTGTCAGGATCGACGCCCTGAGGGACTGGCTCCGTGGTCAGGGAGCGAAGAGGAAACCTGTGGGTAGGGTTAGAGGTCGCTCTTTGGTTCCGGCAGAGAACGCTGGGTTGGAAGCTCCGGCGTCTGGGACCACGTTTTAGTCAGAACTATGGAGTCGTGTGTTACACAGTTAAGAGTCGAGTCGTGCGACTCCTCAGCTTCACCAGCCATCGTATTCTGATAAAACTGCGTGTTGTGAACTGTTTTTACTAGGTGAACGTTCCCAAAACCCGGCGAACTTTCTGTAAGAAGTGTGGCAAGCATCAACCCCACAAAGTGACACAGTACAAGAAAGGCAAAGATTCTCTATATGCCCAGGGTAAGATGGCTTCATTGCAACGTGGTTTTGGTATGGTATTTGTGAAATGTATCAAGAGTGTGTGTTTTTTAAAGTTTCCTTCTAAGTACTGGGGCTTAAATCTTTTGCACTGACCTATATCTCCAGCCCCTTGAACTTGGCTCCTTCTGGAAGCCTCAGGCTCCTCAAGTGCTTGGAAAGTTATTGTTTTTTTCTTAAACTTCAGCTGGGAAACTCCAGAGAAAACCCATCAAGACTTCATGTGTATTGTGATTTATGGTCTTAATTATATCAACAACCCCTTCTCTCCAGGAAAGCGGCGTTATGACAGGAAACAGAGTGGCTATGGTGGGCAGACTAAGCCAATTTTCCGGAAGAAGGTTAGTGGTGGTTATTAATAGATAACAATTCCTTGGGTATATTCCTCCTGTGGTAATGGCCTCAGACTTGCCATCTCTGGTCCACACATGTCACTAGTGTTAATTTCAGCAAAGTTCCTGCAGCCTGTGGTGATAGGTTGTGCAGCTGGGAGTACAGCGCACGATTTCACTCTGTGGTCTACAGGAGAGTACTTTCATTTTTCTCCCCTTTTCTAAAAGAGCCAAAAATCAAGTAATGTTTTCTCCCTGCCTATGAACTGAAGTCTGATTTCGCTAGTAAATCTTTTGATTTGTGCTGTTCTATCATGTTTATGTCCTTAACATTTGGCTGCAGATGAATTGGAGCTGAGGATACAACTCAGTGGTCCAGTGATTGCTTAGCATAGGGGAGGCCCAGCTTGTTGTCCCTGGCCTGCAAAAAAACTGTTACTTGGCCTAGGGATGTAACTTGGCTGTAGTGCTTGCTTGACATGTACAAGGCAAGTAGTTAGCACATTGACTGGACCAAGGCATTCATTCCCACCAGTGTTTCTTAGTACTTTATTCTTTGGTGTCAGAAAATGCTAGAGTGACTGCATAAAGATCTTTTCACATCTATAACTTTAGAAGATAAAAAGAGTTTGGCTTTCTGCAAAACTAGAGATTAGCAGAATTCTGGCTGAAGGGGTAGGCTTAAAAAGTTGGTCATTAGTGAAGAGAATAACTTGAATGTCTTATTTGCAGATTTCTTTTTCAGTCGGGTTTTATTGGTACATTTTACATGCACATACTCGCATAACTTGAATTGTTAGCTCACTTGTTGATTGTGTGAAATATGTAACTGCAGACTTAAAAGGCCACAAGTTCAAGGAAGGCAGTCTGATTTAGCTGCATCTCTCTAGGATGTTCTTTCATGTAGCTAAAATACTGTGACAGCTATCAACTGCAAAGCTTTAAGTAGCAGTGAACCTAACATAAGTCTTGGTTTTTTGAGGTAGGCTCTTACTATGTAATTCAAACTGGCCTTACTATGTGTGGCACAGGCTGGCCTGAAAGTTAGGAGCAACCTTTTTGCCTCAGCCTTCCAAGTATTGGGATTACAGTCATGTACCACCATGGCTGGCTTTACTCATATTGCTTAAGGAAGTGATTTTGTTTTTGACTTTTTCACAGGCCAAAACTACAAAGAAGATTGTCCTGAGGCTTGAGTGTGTTGAGCCCAACTGCAGATCTAAGAGAATGCTGGCTATTAAGAGATGCAAGCATTTTGAACTGGGAGGAGATAAGAAAAGAAAGGTATGAGTTTCTTAAAGCTTTAATATCTTTGGAGAGGTGAACATTTCTGCTTATAGAGAGTGGCATAGATATCTGAGGCATTCCTCAACTCCCATCTGTTGGTGAAGGGTAAGGTTACATAGCGCCTTTCTGAAACGTTTGGCAATAGTCTTGATCCAACACGCATTGTTTGAGTGTCAACATAAGCATCACATGTGGATATTTGAAAAGTTTCAGAAACTAGGAAAGGAAGAATAAAGAGATTGCCCTAATTCAGCATGGTGATCTTAACAAATACAAACCTTACCTTTTTTTTTCTTTCTGTTTCAGGGCCAAGTGATCCAGTTTTAACTTTTCATGTTTTTTATTGTGAAGACAATAAAATCTTGCTGTGTTCACTTCATTGATTGTATTTTGTCTTTTGGGAAGGAATAAGCTAGAACCATCAGCATAATTTTCCATGGGGAATTCATGCTTCATGGTTCTTAATGTTGTGATAATTTAAGTTGATACTTTAAGCCCTTGATCTGTTATGGGATCCTGTTCACTATTAGTAAGTTAGTTGGTTATGTTAGCTAAGTGACACATTTCAGGTTAATGGGGACAGGTCAGTAATATAGCCATAGTGACCAAAGTATATTAAGAATAACCTACTGGTATTTAAGAACTTCGTTAAGGAATTTTGGCTGTATTTTCCAGCTACCAACACATAATATGCAGTAGATAATCTTCAGACTTCACATAACCCCTTTTCTGTTTTTAAATGGGAACATCTTCCAGTGTGTAGAGTGCCCCAAAGAATCTTTATTTGTAGTACTGGGGCTCAAACTCGGGACCTTGTGCTTGCTAGGCAGGCTTCAATTACATGTTCTTATACTTCACACCCTTACTGATACTGCTCTTTGTATATTGACAGCAAAACTAGGGTAAAATGAATATGCTGTACATATAACTGGAGGCACATCTCAAGGTAGAGAAGTTTTCCAAATTTGTGTATCTTTTGCATTTTTTTATATTAAAGAGGAAAAAAACTAAACAAGTACAAAGACAGTAACAAAGTAGTAAAATAGTACAGAATTTCAAAACAGTAGATTAATAATATGTTAATCAAATGTTTTGCTCAGATATAGGCACACAAGATTCATCAAACATTCTTTCAATAAACCTTATTTTTTTTCTTGTCCTTTTAAATTTATTTAAAGAGTATAAAAGTAATAGATAAGCTGAGGATATAGCTCAGCGGCAAAGTTCCTGCTTGGCAAATGCAAGGTCCAAGTTCAATCCCCTGGTACCAAAAAACAATAACATTTTAAAAAACAGGATGAAAAGTATTCAAGTGTGGTTATATTGCATTGTTGGATTCAATTAGTTGCTCAGAGTTCAGATAATGGCATGTAAAATTGGTCAAATATTTTAAAACAACTGTTACCTTCAAAAAACTGATAGAAATTAGTATAACCATCTTAGCTAGCCTATGTATATACTTACATTATTTTCCCCTCTTTTTCCTCTTTTCTCCTTTCCCTCATTTCCATTGTTTATTTCTTAATCTTCAGTTTTTTTCTGTTCTACTATGTCTGTTGTACTTTTCAGATTTTATTCTTTCAGGTTCTTACCCTATGGAGACAGTACAGTTTACACATGTGGGTCTGATTTCACTTATGAATATAGCCTCTACCTGTAAAGGCCTCAAGTTTATAGCTGAGTAATACTCCATTGTATAAAAATACCACATCGTTATTATCCATTCCTCAGATGATAGGCATTTGTGTTTTCAAGATTTAGCTATGATGTACTGCTATAAACATGAGTGCACATATGTTGCTGTGGTATGATTTCAGTTTGTATATCTATAGACAAGTACAAATTTAGTTATTTTTTCTGAGACATATAGTCTAGGCTGGCCTCAAACTCTGATCCTACTGTCTTAGTCTCCCCAGTGCTGCGATTGCAGGCATGTGCTGCCACACCTGATTTCAGTTTATTAATCTTCACAACTTATGAACTCAGTACATATTGAGTGTTCAAATTTCTGTAAAAACAGACTGGTAATTGCACTTTTGTGTTTTAGTGGGACCTTATGGACAGATGTGGTAGCTCACACCTGTAATCCCAGCATTTGGGAGGCTGAGGTAGGAGGACTGCAATGAGTGTGAGGACAGCCTGCACTGTAATATGAGACCCTGCCTCAAAAAATGTTAGACTAGATGAGCCTTTTGGTATTCATGTGTACATTCAAGATGGGTGTGATTTGTATACTTTTTAAATATTTTCGGTTCGTGCAGGAGAATGGCGTTTGGTTATAGATTTGTTCTCAGGAAAAATAGGGAATTAAAAAAGTGTCTTGATTACATGGTAGCATACATCTACAGTCCCAGTACTGGGAAACTAAGGCAGGAGATGAAACTTTAATCCAGCCTGGGTAATTTAGCCCTACCTGAAAAAAACTGGTGCAAAGGGTCTGTGAAGGCCCTGGGTTTAGTTCCCACTATTAAAAAAAAGTTCCCTTCAAGTTGTCTGTATATGAATACCCTAGTTTGAAAAATCACTGCCTCATACAAGGTAAGACTGTTCATTTTAATGGGGGTGGGGTGGGTAGAGGGCTGGGGATATAGCTCAGCGGCATAGCACAGGGCCCTGAATTCGATTCCCAGTACCAGAAATACAGAAAATTTAAAAGGGTGGGTCATTGTTTGTATCTCAGGTTATAATGTATCTAGTTATTCTTGGTGAGAGTAGTCCTTTGTTAGAAACACTATAAAACTGGGGATTTAACATTGTTGCCCTTCAAGGAAAGGTCATTCTTTGCATAAGTACTGTAAACAGCAACCAAGTACCTCAGTTTTCACCTGCAAGTAAACACCTGCTTTGGGGGAGTATTGAGGGTCAAAATGAATCAGTAGTATCTTGCCCATCCATTACAGTGCCTGGCACAGAAAATACTCAATAAATTACAGCTATTATTTCTTAGAACAATAATTTCAAAGGTCTTTTCCAAACTACTGTCCTTATACCTTTAGAAGTAGTGTTTGTTTTGTTGAGACAGGGTTTCACTATGTAGTGCAACATGGCCCTGAACTCTCAGCAGTTGTCCTGCCTCAGTCTTCCCAGTGCTGGGATTACAGGTGTGTGCCACCAAACCCAGTTTATTTTTTATTTTTATTTTTGAAATTTATTTATTTGTGTGTGTGTGGCCAGCTCAACCCACCTGGGGCGGGGCTGGCTGGCATGTGGTGCTGGGGGATTGAACCATGGTCCCTGAGCTTTGCTAAGCTTGTTCTAAGTAGATGCTTTAGACCACTGAGCCATCTCACCAGCCCTCAAACCCAGTTTAGTAGGAGCATTTTTCTTTGGTCTTTTTGAGACAGGGTCTTGTTATGCAGTTCAGGCTGGAATTGAGCTCACTTTGTAGCCCAGGCTGGTCTTAAACTTGCACTGATCCTCCTGCTTCAGCCTCTGGAGTGTAGATACAGGTTTTAGAAGTCCCAATTTGGGACTCAGGAGTGTAGCTTAGTGGTAGGATGCTTTCCTAGCAAAACAGAGGACCTGGTTTCCATCATTAGCACTCCAAAAAGAAAATTACAAAGCCAGGAAATTTTACTTACAGGAATCTAGCTTCTTAACTGGACACAGGTGAAGATTGTGAGCAGGAAGTGGGGTAGTCACAATGGCAAAAAGTACACATCTTGAAGTACGTTTAATTTTTTAAAACCATTTTCGATGCATCTAGCTGAAACAAAGCAGTGCCTGTGGGATTTACTTGAGTTGTTAAGTCTGAAGTCCACTCATAGAAGCCCAGCTCCCTTTTCACGGGAAGGAGCTGAGTAATGAAGCAGCCAGGGTTACAGGCCACTCCATGACCCAGGGAAACAACTGCGATACTATAAGAACGAGGTCCACCAATTTCCTGCAGATTTCTCAGAGCTACAGCCCAAGCTAAATTTGAGAGAGGTCGTTCCCACACCTCAATGTCCTTTTCCTGAAAAACCAAGAAAATATGTGTGAGTACTTGCTAATCAGCAATAAGCTGCCTTGCTGCTTTGGCATTCAGTCTTTTCAGAATCAAGCACTTACAGGAAACTATCAAGTTAGTTGCAGTACATTTTGGAAATAATTATAACAGGAAGCCTTATTACTACTGAGTAGAGCATAGAAGTAAAAGACAAAAACCAAATAATTCTCAAAGTATCAGTCCTGTGCTCTTAGATAACAGATTTAGGCTTAAGACAAACTTGGTACTTGGGCATAAAAGCCGCTTTAAAATATACACCTAAACCCATTCATTCATGGTTGTGTAGGCTTGTGATCCCAGCACTGAGAGGCTGAGGTAGGATTACAAATTCAAGCCCAGCCTGAGCAATTTAGCCAGACCCTGTCTATTAAAACACAAGGGAAAACAACTCAGTATAAAGGTCCTAGCTTTTTCCTCATTACTGGCAAAAACAGCAAAACCCACTCAAACACTTGTAGTAGATGTAAACCAGAGGCAGAACATGTTCCTAGCATATTTTCTCCCACAGAACATTATTTCCCATACCTTTCTAAGGCGGTACCCCTGCTTGCCCAAGGGGTCTTGGTTGATGGCAATCACATCTTTGTTCTGAAGTAGAGCTTTGGCTTCAGGGCTGATCTGTCGGAGGTCGTTGGACATGAGTAAAGGAGCTGCCATGACAGCCCAGAGGGCCATCTGAGTTACTTGCTGATCCCAGCTGAGGCCAAAGTTACCAATCACTAACTAAAACACAGAATGAAATAATTCAAATAAGATGAAACATTTTTAAATACCTGGATGACCCATAGGAGCCACTTTCCATAGGACCCTGCTCTGTATACTCTCACAGAAAGTCTGCTCCCAGGAACTTTACCCATCATTACCCTGAATATGGAAGAGGAAAAAGGTCTGTGACATGCTCTTTGAAAAAAGGCTGAGCTTCTTACCATATCTGGGTCATTCCAACCCCCTGGTCCAGCGACATCAACAATTTCCTCCTGATGAAGAGATGTCCAGTCCAGGATATGCTGTATACTTTGCCAAGAATCAGAAATATCATAAAAATTTCTCCAGTGATTGCAGTACTGTCGGATATTTGTGTAATTTGGCTGTGAAAACAGGACTCTTGTTTACTTTATAATATCCTTGTGAGAGAAAATGATCTAATTTAAAGGAAGCCACTGGAAGGCTTTAGTGTACAGATTGAAAGTCTTCATGAGAAAGACTTAAATATTAAGAAGGAACTGTATTGTAAGAAATTTGCTTTCAAAAAAATTTTGCTTTCAAAATAGGCCATATAATTTAAAATCCTTAAAGTGACCTTAGTACTGTTTATGCTGGAAACTTACCAAATGGTATATTATGGAAGATTTCAACTTGTTTTATCAATCACTGTATTTTCAAAGTTTTCTAAAATGAAGATACATTACTTTTAAAATAAAAAATGATCTTTTATGTTTTGAGACAGGATTTGCTATATAAGTTCAGCCTGCTTTTGAATTCACTGTGTACCCCAAGCTGGCCTCAGATTCATAGCGAGCCTACTGTCTCAGCCTCCCAAGTGCTGGGATTACAGGCGTGTGCCACCATGCACAGCTAATAAAGTGATCGTAAGTAAAAATAGCTAGAAAATTATATAGGACTTCATCAAACATGATGAGATCTGACTACAATATTCATATATATATATATATATATATATATATATATATATAATTTCTTAGTGGAATGAATAAAGAAAATAATAAGAGTTCCAATCTATAAATAATTATTCAAGACCACACTTACCATATGCTAGGGATACAAGTGCAAAGTCAGATAAGGTATGTGCCCTTATGAATTTATACTCTACAAATCAAATATTCTATATAGTGACTAAGGTCTTAGAAGCAAATTAAAATGAGTTAATGTGATAAAGAATGAATGGATAGCTACTTTAAGAGAATGTAGCATCTAGTCTTAGATTTAAGAGCTGACCCTTTAAATATCTTGGGTGAAGAATGTTCCTTGGAGACAACCAAAAGCATGTGTAAAAGTGATAGTGGTGTTCAAGGGACAGGAAAAAAAAACACATTGTAGTGAAAAAGTCATCACTCCAGAGGCAGGTAAAGGTCAGATCCGTGAAATTAGATTTTATTCCAAGTGCAATGGGAAGCCAGTTAAGGGCTTAGGTAGGGGAGTGACAAAATGCCATTGACATTTTAACAAGATAATTCTGGTGCTGCTTGGAAAATGGATGGGGGTCGGGGCAAGAATGGAAGTAGATCAAGCTGTCATAGAAGTCTAGGTGAGAGATAAGACCAGCTTGGAAGGCCAGAGATGCAGTGGTGATAGAAAGAAATGGACTGATTCAAGATATTTGGAGATGGGAAGGATTGCTGATGCATTAATGATGAGAAAAAGGAAAGAATCAAAGATGACTTGCTAGGTGGTGGTAGCTTAGAGACTAATAATTACAGCAGTGTTGAAAAGTGGCTGTACTTTGATGGAGAATTTTGCCTCTTTAGTTGTCATGTTCTAAAAATCAGGTCCTGGGCTCACAAGCTCACCTTATGAAAGGGCAACAGATATAAAGGCCACTCACAGGAGTATACAATGCTTCTGCCAGTCCTGTTCAAGGCCAAGGACATGTACTTATAACCTGCATAGGAAACAATGAATAAAATAAGGAAAAGAAGGGAATTTCCAGTTGGGGCTGTATATATGAGGTCTCTGGAACGGTCCATATTTACATTTTAAACCAGTTCCAAGGATAGGGCATATTTTACTTATAAAATGAACATAGAATCTTCCAGACCTCCTGGGACTGTTCTAAGGAGGTAGCACCATAGATGCTTTGTATGTTGAGGCAAAGCAAGAATAAAGATGATTTTCTCTGACTGTATGACCTGGACTTTTTCATAAGTGATATTATAAAGAGTTACTAATTGGAATGAATTCTTAGAGCCCTCCTGCATTAAAAGTACAATATTAGCCATGGTTAGGCATGCATGAATTCCACACACATGAATAAGGGAATGAATGAATGAACAAACTGAAAGAAAAGGGGTAGGAGTTCTGGCACATTTAGAATTATGTCCAGTACTGTGACTGTTTGAAGTTTGAAGATTAGGTCTTTGGACAATTATCTACTTTGGCCTCAAAGTTATTCCCTTTGCTTGTGGCTAAATCTGTCAATTGAAACATACCATTTTCCAAATGCTCTATACTGTCACAGTGACAACCGTCAAATTTTAGCAGGTCTACTCCCCAGTCAGCAAAAGTCTGAGCATCAAGGTCATAGTATCCAAAACTTCCAGGAAAGCCAGCACAGGTTTTATTTCCAACATCTGCATAAATCCCTAGTTTCAGCCCTTTGCTATGAACCTGAAACAGGAAGAAAAAGTTACTACAACCCAAGAATAATCATGAATAAACAGAATCCATCCTGGGGGCAGAGATAAGTGTGTTTCACCAAGTAGTGGGAGCCTTTTTTTAGGATCCCTCATTTTTATTTTCTAGATGACTTTGCTGGGAGAAAAAGAACAACCCCCCCAATTTTGCCAAGTTTAAACTGTATCTGTGAGCTATAGCACAACCCTGAAGAAAATGTCATTAGCTACTCTAATATTCTTGATGGGATAATGATGACTTATTTTAAAAAAGACTCCTTCAGTAAAATTTAGTTAGTTTTTCTGAGCCTTTTTACCTGGGCCTTGACTGCATCTGTCCCAGAAAACTGTTTGAGCAAGCATCATGCTAAGTTAGGCCTTCTATCTTGATGTCTCCTTTTAGTAATGTTTCATCTGACCTCCTCAATCTGCCCTTGGATATAAACACTTATCTTCATTGCATTTAGATTTGCATATGACTCTTTACTGCAGTAGTACTGAACAAAATCTATCTTCATCACAGTTAACTAGTGTTAGACCCTATTTCTTCAGTAATCTCCAGAATAGTATCATTCTTTTCTAAAATTCTAGTTTATAACTGAACTGCAATTGCTGTCCAAAGATTATATGTGAACACATGCACACATATGAAAAGAACCAAGTTCCTTTTTCTTCTCTGAAAATTCAATGGTTTTAGCAAAAGGAGAACTTCAAGATGAACCTCAAGAACTATTGCAAAATGTATATGCTGATGGGACAAAAAATTCCACCGGGTAAGCCTTACAATTCAATGTTCAGTTTTTTTTTAAATTATTTATTTGTGTGTGTGTGTGTGTGTGTGTGTGTGTGTGTGTGTGTGTTTGTGGCCAGCTCAGCCCACCAGGGGGCAGGGCTGGCTGGCATGTGGTGCTGGGGGATTGAACCGTGGTCGCTTTGCTTTGCTAAGGCTTGTTCTAAGTAGGTGCTTTAGACCACTGAGCCATCTCACCAGCCCCTCAATGTTCAGTTAACAATAGTCATTCTTAGATCAACAGTCAATCTGTCATACGGACAGTGGATCAATAAGAAAAGTCCTTGCAGACCCCTTGGATTGGAAAAAGTTAATCTAAGTTATGACAAACCTTTTAGAACTTTTTCTGAAGCACATGTGCCACAGATTCACCACCACTGATCTATAAACTCACAAAATTAGCTAGGCGGCGGATCCCCCCAGGAAAGCGTTGAGGGTCAGCCTGAAGTCTGTCCTGTGAATCTCTCTGGGGAGCCATCCAACAGTCATCAATGCACAGGTACTCATAGCCTGCATTTTTCCAGCCGTCTGAGACCATGAGCTCTGCCATCTGCATGAAGAGCTGCTCGCTGAAACAGAAATTCCCATAATCGTTATAATTCTTTAGATGAATGCTTAGGTATTCCTACTGGGTACTTAGAACTTGCCCAGTATGGGCAAGGTGCAGTGTTCTATCTCCAGCACTACCAAAGAAAGAAAAAAAAAAAGTAGGAATGACAGATACATGAGGAAATTGAAAGGCTTATGAGAACAACAGAAGTTCAGTAAAGAACAAAGTTAATGTAATAAACAGCTTCTTTAGATATCAACAGTATACTATTTAGACAAAAATTATCCCATTCATAGCTAAATCTTAGAAACAGCCTCAATCAATGGCTGAATGGATAAAGAAAATAGAATTTTTACATGCAGTGGAGTGCTATTCTGCCATAAAAAAGGACTAACCTGAGATTTTTTTTAGGTAAATTGTTGCACCTTGAGAACATAATTTTAAGTGAAATAAATCAGACACATGTGTTTAAATATCTTATTGTTTCTCTTGTGCGAGAAACCCAAAGAGTAAATAAGGACCAAAATGGATGATAGATATTGTGAAAGAGAAATAAAATGTTCAAATGGGAAGGTGAACAAGGAAAGAGGGAGAGGAGAAGAAGGGAGGGAATAGGGATTAAAAAATAAGTAATGGAAGAAAAACAATGAAAACCAAGTTTTATAAAGGGAGAGAGGAAAAAGGATTGAAGGGAAAGAAGGGGAATGTGAAAAAAGATGTGTATATGTACAAATTCCCTCTGATGTGATCATTATGTATGTGAAAAGTATACCAACACAATCCATTTTAAAAATCTCATTCACAAAAGGAACTGAAAAAAATAGAAAAACTTAAGCTATCTAGAGATACATTTAAGATAGATGAAAAAGTCCATATTTTAAAACTATGATACCCCTAAATGGAGAAAACATTTTGTTTTTGGTTAAGAAAACACAGGACGGAGGATATAGCTTTGCACTAGAGCACTGGGCTGGCCTTTATGAGACCACGGGTTCAATCAGTAACACAAAAAAGAAAAATGACTATGCCAAGCATGGTGGTGCACACCTCTAATCCCAGCACTGGGCAAGCTAAGGTAGGAGGATTACCCTGTTTCTCAAGGCCAAACTGGGTCACATAGTGAGTTTAAGGCCAGCCTGAACTATAGAGCAAGACCCATCCTCAGAAAGTAGCAAAGAAAAAAAGGTAACTCAACATTTTAAACCTGGAGATATAGCTCAGTGGTAGTTGCCTAGCATGTATAAACCTCTGGATCCAACCTTCAGCCTGTCTGTCTGTCTGTCTGTCTCTCTCTTCTTCAAAATGCTAAAACACGGGGGGGGGGGTCCTTGAACCCAGGCTGTGCTGGCCCCGCCCCAGGGGCATGCTGAGACCATGACTGAGACTGGATGTGGTGGTGCATATCTGTAATCCCATTGTTTGGGAGGCTGAAAAACAGGAAGGATCACTCCAAGTCTGATCTGTGTAGTGAAACCCTGTAGAGCCTGTACTAAGCACATAAAAAATGCAAACTCTTCCAATAATCCTTATGAAACCCTGTACATTTTTAAATATTATATTTAATAAAATCCTGAACAAACCCCAAACTTTTAAGCAACCTGATGAAAAGATTAAGATTGATAAAAGATTGTTTATGTTCTACAGAAAAGATAAAGGAGGGCTGGCCAGATAGCTCAGCAGATTAAAGCACCTGCTTAGGCAGACCCAGGGGCCAAGGGATCGATCCCTGGCCTACCATGCTGGCCCCACCCCCAGGGCTGAGATGGCTATTGAGACTGTGCATGGTGGTGCATACTTGTAATCCCAGCTCTTGGGAGGCTGAAAACAGAAGAATCACCCTGCTCCTGATCTGTGTAGTGAGACCCAGTAGACCCTGTCCTAAATACATAATAAATAAATAAATGATAAAGGAAGCTAGTGTAGCTTAGCATTAGAATACAAAGATATATGGACTCCAAGACAAAGTTCTCATAGAGATCCATCCATCTGATGACCATGGGATTTAGTATCCTGCAAAAATGCTAAACTGAGCTACTTGGGTTTTTTTTATTGTAAAAATCCAAGTTTACCTTCCCTCTGAGGAATTTTGGTTCTGTTTAACTGAACCTGAATTCCAGATTTGTACATTTATGCTGCACCAAATTAAAAACTTTTTTGAGTCAGCATTTTGCTGTGTTGCCCAGGCTAGCCTGCAAACGTGTGATCTTCCTGCCTTGACCTCCAGGATAGCTGGGGTATAGGTGTGTGCCCCCATGCTGTTTTTGTCTTTCCTTTTAATCTCATGTATGATTTCTTTGTTTACAGACCCCAATGCCAAAAATCGTAAATGAAAGAATTGGTGTTAATTACATAAGTAGCAAAAGCAATATATAGCAAAAATTACCTGTACTTGCAACATATTAAAAACAAAAACAAAAACAAAACAAAACAACCCCCAGAGATTCCAATTGAATGGGAGGCTGACATGAAGGGGTAATCAATAAAAGAATCAGCTATGCAAAGTGCCAGTTTACACAGGAAAAGATATTCCACCTTGTCAGTATATAATCGAAGAATGTAAACAACTTGGCCTGGGGCGTAGCTCAGATGTAGAGAATTTGCCGAGCCTGTATGAGGCCCTGTGTTGATCCCTGGCACCAAACCAAGGCAAACATACAAACTAAAAGCCCAATGCAAGTAATAAAACTTACAAGACTGCAATGTTGGCCAAGTTGAGGGGAGACAATATGGTATTCTTACAAATTGTTGAGAAAGTATATTTGTAAAATCCTTGGGAAGGATAGTTTGAGATGTATTAAATGAGCACACTTTAATTAGTGTTCTAAGGAAAGAATCAGGTAAGAATCAGATGTACAAAAACTTAGACCTAAGAAATTTGTGATCTAGAAAAGATGAAGAATCACTGGTAGCTATCAAGTAGCTATCAAAAGGTAGCAGCTTATGGGCCAGGGAGATGACTCAGTGGAATAAGCGCTTCCCTGGCAAGCGCAAGGTCCTGATTTCAAGCCCCGGTTCTGCCAAAAAAAACAAAAGGTAGCTGCTTGAATAAATTTTGATAAATGCACATATCAGGGCATCTAAGTTTTGTGGTTAACCACTCATGACATAAACATACTATTTTTATGGAAAATAGTGAAGAAAAATTTTTTCATTTACATAGAAAACAATTGCAAGGGGCCCGGGGAGATGGCTCAGTAGAATAAGTGCTTCCCTGGCAAGCACAAGAGTCTGAGTTCAATCCCCGGTTCTGGGAAAAAGAAAGAAAGAAAGAAAACAACTGCAAGGTTGTAGATGAGCATTTTAATCATGATTATTTCTGGGTGGTAAAATGGGGGAATCTTAATTTTCATTATACCCTGTTTTACTATCTACATTTTTTGCAACCACTATGCATTAGTTTTGTAGTCAGACAAAAGACAAACACCACTTAAAAGACCAACAACAACAAAATCCACAACGAACAGCTGTCACACACTGTACCTCAGGGTCACAACAGACTTAGTCTTGGCCAATTTCTTTTGTGATGTGTGACCAGCTTCCTGACGTTATTTCTGAAGACATATATACAAGGGCAAATTACGAATAAAGACACATTACTATGTGTCTGCTACTTTAGTGGCAATTCCTCGTGGTGGGCTATCTTAGGTTTATCAACAATATCTATCAGCGATTCTTAATCTTTTCTAGATCGAAGATTTCTCTGAGAATCTTAAGGTGAAGATATTTAAAGGTATTTCTACAGAAAATACATATACTCACATTTTCAGAACATTCATTTGTCCATGCATGCCGGAAAAATAAGAGCATGCATTTTACTAATTGAGGAGTCAGACACCGTGCTTTGTGATTTTAAATATCAAAGCCCTGGGGTCTCTCTTAACTCGCTCCAGTAACAGTCAAGGAACTCATGACCCAAAAAGGAGAAGAAATGACATGAATCTTGGTTCTCCATCCCTCCCACCCACTCTAGCTGTGCTTGTGGCGAGAGAAGAGAAGAGAAGAGAAGAGAAGAGAGAAGAGAGAAGAGAGAAGAGAGAAGAGAAAAGAGAGAAGAGAGAAGAGAGAAGAGAGAAGAGAGAAGAGAGAAGAGGATGTGAAGCAGGTGCGGCTGAGTGGACACCTACTCCTGGAGGGGTCAAACGGAGAAAGTTTAAGGCTAGTCCCATTTCAGAGAGCAGTTTTCTGGAGAATAAAAAAATCAGCAGTAGTTGGGGAGCTCACCTCTGAGCTCACGCATTCCAGCTGACACCCTCCATTTTCTTACACACCCAAACGGATGGAAAAGCCCAAGGAAGGGGCCCTCCAATGTCTTGATACCTGATGCAGGAATCCGGCTCTTCCCGGCAGTTAAGGTTGCACACAAAACGTTCCCAATGCAGCCAGCCCATTGTAGGCGTCCTCGCTAAGCCATTATTCAGTGCCCTGGCCCCAAAGACTCTGCAGAGAACTAGGGCAAGGAAGAGAAGCACAGGCACACAATCCGGCCGCTGATCTCCGTTCCTAAGCTTCATGACTGGAGTGACTGTATACAAAACAGATTTCTGCCAGTAACTCGGGCTTTTAACTATAACCTTCGGGACCAATCATATCCAAGATATTAAATAATGACGTTATTTGTCAGTTAAATGAGCGGTTACCTCCAGCGGCCTACCAATGATCAATCACGTAAGACGCAACACCGACCAATCACTGTTCATTTCTTGACATTAGCCCGCCCTATTTTCAGGCTAGAAGGAAATGCAGCACCTTAGAGTTCCCGAGTTTAAGCCGCGAGTTACTCACGTGACCGAGATCTCACATGACGTAGGCGATCACGTGATCGACCGCTTACGTGAGCAGAAGTAGTTCTGGTCGTCGCCTACCGCCTCGCTATAGCCGTTTGAGGGAAGAAAGAGGAAAATTCCCCGGTATCTTTAGAGGTTGGTGTGTGGGTGGGAACTGGGGACCCGGGGTTGGTGATAATGACGACCAGTGTGGGTTCCTCGGGCTGCCTCCTTTTTCGTGTACTGTTTCCCCCTCCCCCCCCGCTTCCGTCCCCCTCCCCCTCTCGCTCCCCTTCGTCTCTGTGCAGCGAAGCCGCCTTTGCTAAGCCTGGTGGGGAAATGGTGGACGTTCGTGACTGTGAGTATATGAGTGTGTGTGCGCGTGCGCGCGCGTGTGTTTGTCTATCTGCCCATCTGAGCCACTCTCAGGGACCCCAAAGGGGACTATATGGTGAAAAATGCGTGAAAAGAATTAGGAAAAACATTAAAACCCGTGGTCTGAGTGCAGGTCCAGCGGTTAAGGCGCTCAGTCTGTGTTGCCTGATTGTGTGACTGTCGGGAAAGGCCCCAAGTGAATTATCAGTAGAGTCGCATCTAGGTAAACGCTGCGTAACTTCCAGAGGCCCAGTAAATGTTTTCTACTTGGGAATTTGATTAACGTTTGTTTTTCTGCGTACAACAGTAATCGACATGTTGAATATGATCATTCAAAAAATTACAATATACTTTACAAATTTTGAAGACAAACGTAATTTATCCCTACTCAACTTTTTGTCGTTAGTTTTAAAAATATTTGTATTGTAATACACGTAAATACACAGATTCTTAACTCTCATAAGGGATCTTGGTTTCTACTTGAGGGGACAGAGTTTTTGTTGGTTTTCTCAGGGGATGGAAGAAAGCACCTCTTGGTCACTAGAGAGGGACTATTAACGCTTAGAATGATGCAAGAGTCATCATCATCCAGGGATGATGTGTTACTGAGACCTAAGGATAGGTTGTAGGAAAACTGTTAACCGCCGCACAAGTAGGCATCCATTAAACAATTTGTAAACGTTTGAATTCGGTCCTCAGTGTGATTTTATGGCGGCTATTTACTTTTTACTTTGAGTCCCAGTGTTCCCAGACTATGTCGGATAAGCCACCCACGTATAAAATTTGAATGTTTTATAAAAATGTACCAGACTATATCCCATAAAAGCAAACACTTTGATTTGTTGCTTTTTTGTTGAAATAAAGTTATTCTTCTTTGTGGAAAATTAAGACTGTACAAATAGTTGAAAAAATAAAATGTAAAAAGCCATAAACCTTGCACTCAGTAACCAGTTTTAACGTGACATATTCTCCACGCATATGGTTTTCTAACGTACATACGTTATTTATGTTCCAACAGTCAGTTTAAAGAATTAAAATTATATGCAAGTATGTAGAACAAAAAAATGAAAGTATCCCTTCATTCCCCCTACCCTGCAGTTCTGTTTTCAAAAACGTTTGTATTATATACTTCTGGATTGTCTTTTACACATTTACTAACATGCTTATATTTTAATACAAATAAGATCACAGTATATGTAAAATTCTTTCATTTATTGTGTTTTGGAAATTTAGGTCAGAGCAGATAGAGCGCTGTTTTTAAGATGACTGCATAGCATCCCATTTTAAGGATAAGTTGTAGTTTATTCAACCATCCCACTGTTGATAACTGTTTAGGTTTCTAATTTTCTGCCATTATGGTGCTGTAGTAAGTATTTCTGTTGAGCAGATTCCTAGAAAGAATTCTGGCAAGGTCAGAGGGTATGGAGACAGTTTTTACATAGTTGAGATTATGTTATAAAGTAACTGTATTTTTGGACCATTTATTATAAAACATTTCTCATGTTAAATATTTTATGACTTTATATGTATAATGCTATATTTTTCTTAATAGAATAACTTTCAAAGAAGATACAGCTACATAATCCTGGGCTGAATTTAAAAATCACTTTTAAGGTACATAATCTGAAGTGAGTTTACTGTCAAAAGGTGTGATTAATACCATATTGTTTTCCAGAATACTTTATAGTATCTATCCATTCCTCTAGTATTGTATTAGTTTGTGAACTCCGAGTATATTGACTTATTGTCACTGTTTAATTTCCACTATCTTGATGAGTAAAAAAGTAGCTAATTAATTCTGGTTTTAACTTGCATGTCCAATGACTGATGAGGTTTGAATGTTTCCCAGACTCCTCTCCTGTATCCTCTTTCATTTAATCTGTTATGAAGTGCAGATTTTACTTTTTTCATATAGATCCCATATTTCTTCCCCTTTTCATTGTTTTCTCAGTGAATCCTTAACATATTTCCAAGAGGCTCTTCTAACTATTGCTCACTGCACTTAGAACCCCTTTGCTTTGCATCCTATGCTGTTAGTACCTGGATGATGCAACTAAAAGGGTCCTGATGACAGCACTTTGGATCTGATCTCTTACCTTGTCAGCCTTACTTCTTGTTTGCTTCCTTCTATTTTATGTTTCATCCAGATTTTAAAATTTTGTTCATGATCTCTGAAGGAGTTCATCTGTTTTATTCACCCATCCTGCTTCCAACTGATAGAATTGACCAAGCAGTTCCTCCTTTATGCTATCCTTACCCACTGCAGGAAGTTCTGTCATAGCAGGTATAAGGTGTATATAAGACACACAGTGTCCTGTAGAACCATAAGCATTCGGTTTGTTGATGCTTGTGTGCCAGAGGTGAGCATTGGGGCTGCCACCTAAAAATGTTTGAATATGTAAGTTCCCAATAATGTCTTTTTTCTGTTTCTGTCTTAGGTCTTAATATTTCTCTGATTTTATTGACTTGTATATATATTTATATGATGTTAATATATTTGTTGCAGGTATCTTCTCATGTGCTTTAATTCTGTTTAATTCTTTGGTCTAGGGCGGGGGAGATAGCTCAGTGGAATAAGTGCTTGCCTGGCAAGTGCAAAGTCCTGAGTTTGATCCCTGGTACCACCAAAAAAGAAAATCCTTTGATCTAATAAAGTTTTTCATTTTTATTTAATCATGTATAGCTATATTTTGTTTTTTGATATCTTTCACTGGGTTTGTTGCTGTTAATCTCTCAGGTCTTCCATTTATTGTCTATGTTTATACATGGTCAGAGCAGAAAACTTAGAACATACAGAAATGTCCAAAGGGAAGAACATTCTCTGAAACAAAAAAGTTTTTATAATTCTACCACCATTAATGATACTTGATACATAATATATATTGAATAAATAATAATTGAGTTAAAGATTTGGTGTAGTCTTTTTGTTTATGTGGTGTATTTTTAAAAAGCTACTTACATTGTTTGCTTTTTTCTTTTACTGTATTGTGAACATTTTCCCCCAACAATGGTCTCCTAATTATTTTTTCAGCCGCATCAAAATTCCATTGAGCCAAGCGTGCCATCAAGAGCCCAACAGTCACCATGATGCTGAGCACAGAAGGCAGGGAGGGGTTCGTGGTGAAGGTCAGGGGCCTACCCTGGTCCTGCTCAGCTGATGAAGTGATGCGCTTCTTCTCTGATTGCAAAATCCAGAACGGCACGTCAGGTATTCGTTTCATCTACACCAGAGAAGGCAGACCAAGTGGTGAAGCATTTGTTGAACTTGAATCAGAAGATGAAGTGAAATTGGCCTTGAAGAAGGACAGAGAAACCATGGGTCACAGATATGTTGAAGTATTCAAGTCCAACAGTGTTGAAATGGATTGGGT